TTGCCCTCACTCTCTGGGATGTCATATTTAAGTCCTGAAAAAAAGCAAATAATTCAGAACACGATGAACAGCCTTTTAGTGAAGACATCTTATTTCTTTTCCATTTTCAGTTGGAAGCCACATTGACAGGAGGATTTCTCTTTAGAGGGTAGAGATTGTATGACAGGTGGGAGGTGATGGGGTAAGATGAGACCATTACTTTCAATTTCTCCCCAATATTTTCTCTTTTTGGTTTTTCTTGGCATTAAATTGGTTAAAACACAGTAAATAAGTGGAAAACAAGAGCCTGACATTAGGCAGTTTTAAAAGTTTTGTTTTGTTTTGTTTTGTTTCTGCTATAGATACATATCTCCAAATGGTTGAAGCTGAGAAATTGATTATAATTTGTTTTGAAATGAGAATTGTTTTAGTAAGTCTCACATGCTGACTACAATATCATTTAAACTGTTTTCCTTAGCCATTGTTACATATACTTCATGAAGGAGAAACAGCCCTCAGGTTGTTAGGTATGAATGGCTATCCAGAAAAGGACATTTGATTCTAGGACTGAAGGCACTGGGCTTCACTTCCTAAGAAGCCTCTTCTCACCCCCACCCCCAGTCCCATGTTCTTCTGAGTGAAATTCGCATTGCTCCCAGAGCCTGGGACACTTCATTGTAAATTCCTGTAAGGGAATACTCGGTTACCAGGGCTACAAGTTCCCGTCTAAACCCGCCAGCCTCCCTGCCCCCTGCTCCAGGTCGCAGAGACCCTTGGCTGTCAAGGGCTGGGACCTTGGGCCCCCTCCCCTCCTACTCCCAGCCTACCGGAGATCGCAGTTCCAAAGTTCGAAGTTGGGTGGGAGCGGATTAATCCCTCTTTAACTCCTCTTCTTCCCGCCCTCAATTCTGAACCCCAACGGATCCGTTTCCCGGGGTTTCCTGGTGAATAGGAGTGTAGGAGCTGCCCTGTCCAATAAAGATTAAATTAAGTAGAAGAATCCCAGCCGCTGGATATTTGGAAGCTCCGGTGGGGCGTCAAACCGACGTTTAACACATTTTTTCCAGTCACTGTGTACAAATTTTGGACCTGTTGGGCTTAACTTTAGAAAGGAAAGAAGAAAAAAGATAAGGAAAGAAGGAAGGGAAAAAGAAAAGTGAAAAGAAAAAGCGAAGAAAGAAATTCACAGAAAACCCCCAGTTTCAGGGGGACTTTGCACTCAGAGAGGCTGAAGGCAGAAGCAGGGCTTCCTGACCTTTCTAGTCTTTTCTTTCCCCAACCACTCCTAGAATTGGAGAATCCCTCTCCCAGCTGAGGGCTTGGAATTTTGCTGTTTTGGCGAGTCTGAGTCTACTTTTATCCCTTAGGGATAGTTTGGTGGCCCAGGGTCACAACTGGGTGTGCAGCAGGAAAGATGCACTCAGAACCCAGTCGCCTCCTCTGTGCTTAATTTTTTTTTTTAACACTAAGCTTTTGGTAGCGCAAACTGAGAACTGAGCAGTTTCTTTCAGTGACTGCCCAGCAGGAGAAACAATGGCTTTCTCTGTCGGCAGCGCTTAGCTCTCTGGACACTGACCTTGAAGCTGAGGCCGGGCCAGGCGCTCCCTCCCCTGGGAATCATCCCGGCCCCAAAACATCGGCGTCTCCCTCCCACCTGCTCCTGTAGTCCCAGGGCGCAGTCTGGCGGGGGCAAAAGGCAAGTCCCTTCGTGGCAATGGTTCGTCCGTGCAAATACAACACTGAATAAATTAACCTCAAACCAGCTAGTTGGGGTGTAGTAGTTTAGCAGGACTAATTGCAGACAATGGAGCTGAAATGCCTTTTCCAATTAGCTGCTGGTTGGAGTTTAGTTGGAGGAACTGTCAGCTCCAACGATGGGTAATTGCTTTATTGCTCACAAAACTATCATCTATTTAGAACATATGTGCTAATTACTCTGGATGGGCGTCGAAAAAAGAGACCGTAAATCTAATAGCACTTTAAAAAGTCTGTGGTGCTTGTAAGCAACCCCAGTCCCTTGCACTTACTTCTCCTGCCCAGGTTGGCATGATGGATGGCTGTCTTTCAGAAAGGCTAAGGTTTGGACTGGAGGCATCTACGGGATGTTCTGGTCAAATCGCGTGCAAGAGAGCGAGCGGCAGCGCATGCTGGGCAGAGGCGATAAATCACTGTCATCAAAACCAGTACCCTCTTTAGCTGCGCACTTTTTTTTTTTCATTTTCGCAAAAGATTACTTTAGAAATCTTTGAATTGGATTATGCTGGGAAATTAATCTCCTTTAGCCTTGGCTAAATATATTGTGGCCACTGTCGGGAGGAAAGTCCTGAAACTGCAGCGAGGGCCACGTCCCCTTGCTCTCTCCTTCCCTCAGCCCTCCAGGATCTCCCAGCCGCGTGCGACAGCCGTGCTCCAGTTCGTCAGGAGTGATTGCGGGTGAGAAAGAGTGGAAAGACACATCTGGGCGGAAGGCCACGTCGGTCCCTAGTGAATTTCCTTTGTCCTAAAGGCCACGTTTCAGTCCAGGATTCCCTAGCTCCATATCTAGCATTTCCATAGCACCGCGCCTTCCTCCACAAGGTGTCCTGGGGGCCTGCTACCAGGCAGGAGGGAGGCTAGAGTGGCGGAAAGAGGAAGTGGGGTGTGTTGGCGGAGGGCTGCCAGCCAAAGTCACTACTTTGCCCTTTTCCCACACCTCCGCCGCCTCCCTTCTGGGTCTCCGGTGTGGAGCTGGGTCTTTGCTAACACTCTCTACTCTACTTTTTTGCGTAAAGACGCACGGCTTGCTCTTGGCGTTTTCCCTGGTATAACTCTGGAGACTCTTCCCCTTGACGTGCACAGTGGTTGAGGTCCGAGAACTAGGGCCTCCCCATTTCCCCAGCTCCTAGAGCGCCAGCGCAGTGTTGGGCGGGGACCTCCCTTCCAGCCCCGCGGCCCAGAGTCCTTAGCCTGGTCCAGCGCGGCTCGGGCGGCTGCGGAAGCTGCGGGTCGGACCCTGCCGGCCGCTTATCTCAGCGGGAGATGACAACATCTGTCCGAAACGGGATACCTACTTTTGCAGCTCAATTTAGCTCTTAATAGCAGCCCTCTGAGGTGTGGTTAATTGATAGGGATAAAGGCGTAATGACTGGACGAGGAGACGCCAGTGATCCTTTAATATACTTTTAAAAGAAACAACCACCACCCCAAACACCGGCGAGTCATTGCTCGGTGGGAGGATAAGACCGGGATCTGGCGGCCGGAAGAGCGAAGCCAGTGCTGTTTGTATCTAGAGGCTACAGTGAGGGGTGAGCCCTGGCTCTCAGGGCTGGGGCATCCGGGAACCACCAGGGCGCGCAGCTCAGGCTGGCAGGGGGTTGTCGCGTGGCCGCGGAGAGCCGAGCGGGGCGAGGACCTGGAAAACTCGGGATGACAGGTGACCGGACAGAGGGGCGAGGAGGAGGCTAGAGCCACGGAGGACGCCGCCCCTCCCCGGTCTCGGCCACTCTATCAGCTCTTACCCTGCGCGGGGCTGGATCCCCACGAGACAGGCACCTTCGTCTGCCCTCATCCAGCGAGAGCGAAATGGTCAAGTGACAGTGCCAGGCGGACACTCGCGGGGTTCCAATGTCTGGACAACCTCTGAGGGACCTCAGCTCCGGGAGAGAGAGACACGCGCCGCTGTGTGTGTGTGTGTGTGTGTGTGTGTGTGTAGATCGCCCCGAAATGCAGAGTCAGAGCAGCAGCCCAACACGTGGCCGTATTTCTGCGGGGTCTGCGCAGAGCTGTGTGGCCAGGCGTTCTGGGATTTTCTCGCTCGCAGCTGGGTCCCGCCGCGGGTCCCGCCGCCCTTGCGCACCACACACCCAGACTTCTGCCCGCCACTCTCTCCTCAGCACCGTCCCTTTCCCTCACCTGATCTCCCTTTGCTCAGTTCTAGTTTAGTCTCCAGAGGGTCACAGGAGTGTGTTACACTGCGCAAGCCCCTAACTCAACTTCACACAAACACGAAAGTGAAAAAAATCAGATCGCCTTTTCTGTTTGCAAAGGGGGACCCCCTCCAGGTGCCGTTGGTGGTGTTCCTAGCAGGTTTTGCGAGTATCCTGTTTTACATTTAGGAGAGGGATAACCTTGATGCTTCAGGTTTGAGCTCCCTCTGGAAGCGAAAGGAGAAATGACTACAATCAGCGTCCATATTTAATTGTATTGAGAGATCGCAGGTGTTTCGGCTGCTGCTATTGTCTGCCTTCCTCCCTGAGCCCACATAACGGACGAGAGAGTCCCAAAAAAGTTAATTTCCCCAAACCTCCTTGCGGAGAAGGAGTGCGTTGTCACAGGGCGAAGCTTTGGGGTACAAGATTTGAAAAAGAGCAATTAAGCGTCCCAACTCGCAGAGTGTGCCTGTCTCGGGTGGTTCTGTCCTTCCACCTCACTGTCTAATCTCATCTACTGTGGTTCTACCCTCTGTGATGTCCAGAAATTCGAGACTCACGGTCTCTTAACCGTCGAGCCTCCCGCCCCGTCCGCAGCCCTAGCCGGGGAGGACTCCAACGCCGCGGCCTCCAAGGCCGTGGTCTGGTCCTCGAGCGCCTGAGTCAGGGACAGGGTCCCAGATCTAGGTCCATGCTCTGGTCGGCTACTCCCGCTCAGGAGGTCCCTGCCCGGGATGAACTGCATGACCTGGTGTCGGGTCTCCGAGGCTTTCCCGAAGGCCTGTGGCCTTCGGGACGCCGGAGTCCTGATGTGACTGTGGCGGCCACTCGTCGTCCGCCGATGCCCTCGGATCAGCGTGGCCCTCGGCGCTGCGGAACCGGAGAGCGGCCCGGAGACACCTGCCCGAAGCCCGCGCCGTCCCTACGGCTGTCAAGGGCCCTTACTCCCCCGTCTCCTCACATTCCTCACCCCACGAGGGCGCTCCCTTGCGAACGAATTCTGCGCTCTGGCCTCCCGTTTTCCCTGTAGGGGCCCCTCCCACTCCTTCCCTTGAGGCCTGGGAGCTCGGGCCCGAAGCTCAGCCTGGGGCGGGGCTGGGGGGGGGGGGAAGCCGCTCCCGGAAGCGAGGCCCACATCCGGGCACGAAGCCTCGTTCACGGCGTTGGCGGCCAGGCCCTCGACGCGAGCGGGGAGCCGCGTGCGGCCGAGGGGCCTGGACCGCGGGTGGGCGCGTCTGGCCGTCCTCTAGGGCAGCGCTTGCGCCGGCGCTGAAGGCTCCCACCCCGCGAGCCGGCCGGAGTGACACAGTCCCGGGCCCGCGCAGAGGAAGAGATTCAAGAAGTAAGCCAGGCCCGACCGGGGGGTGGCGCACGCTCCCCGAACCCCGGGGCCGAGCCCTCGGTCGGCGCTGGCTGTGTGTTCCCCCCTCGGGTGGGCGCTGCAGACCTCTTCCGAGTGGACCCGGAGGGAGTGAGCCGGCCTCCGCCCAACTTTGTAAGGTTCGGAGACCCACCGTCGAGCGAGACGGCTTTTGCGAGGCTTACTACGCTTCTCTCCTTTCTTTGGCCGGAGCGCTCTGAGCGTGGTGTCTCTGGGGCAGCTCGTCAGTTCGCCGCGCCTCGGGCCGCAGGTCCTCTTCAGGTGTTGGGTTGAGAGGGGTAGGGAGCAAGGCCTGGGGCAAGGCTGGGAAACCTCAAACCCTAACTTCTAGTTCGAGGAGCTTGGTTTTAAGAAGTTGGAAAGTCAGTGGGGGTTAACTTCGTGGCCTTCGGCAGCTTTGAAAACACCCGTCCTCAAGGCGGGAACAGCACAGTTTAGAAACGGCTGTGTAGTCAAAAAAAAATTTTTTTTTGGAAGACTGTATCTGGACAGTTTTCCCAGAGATCGTTTTATAATCTCTCAATTTACAGAGTTGCTATGTATCTCGCCACTGGTACACTGAATAGTATCTTCCTTCAGACAGGGATTGAGAAACGGAAATACCACCACCCTCGGGCCAAACTTGTGAGGACTGATTGCAGGGGAACTGGTGCTCCAGATGTTGCACTAGAGGCGTTGCAAGTGTGAGCAGGTAACGTGGAGAAGAGTGACATTGTTAACAGAAAGCATCTAATTAACAGTGACTTCATTTGATTGGAAGGATGAAAAAGCCTTTTTAAATCAATCCAGATTCACTGGCCTAAACTCAGCCAATTTATGAATATGTAGCCTGACTGGGGTCTGCTTTCTTTCAAAGATGTCATCTTAGGGGTAATAGCATAGGTGAAGTCATTTGGTTACACTGTGGAAACTTTTATAGTGCCTTCCTTGGGAATTTAATTCAGTGCTTCTTCATTTTATTAGGAACAGACTGACTCCATCAACTGTGCTCTCCCTGTTTAGAGGCAGGACTGCTTGAAGCAATTAGGTTCACCAATTAGCATAGTTTTACTGACCCCAGCAGCAGCACTGCTCCTTAGATTATCCATTTCTTCAAAGTCAGGGAAAAGCTGGAGCACAACATGCTTCCCAGGTGTCCAGGTGGGGGAAATAAGCCCACAAGCAGGGTAGCACAGCAGCGCAAAAAGCTTTCTAATATTCCCTAAGTGTTTGCTTCAGCAACTTCGGTGGATTTTTCTCCCCTTCTCTGATTCTGGATCCTGCAACACCTCCATCTTTTGACATACCCTGTAAAGCCTCTCTCCTTTGGTTGTGTTTTGGCAGAACTGCTTTTGAGAAAGTGAATTGTCTCTTTTCTTTTCTGTCTGCCTGCATGCTAATGATGCTCTGGACGATGTTAGGGTCCACAGAGAGGACAATGCTGAAGGGCTACTTTAAACCCTGAGGTGAGAAGGTAAGGGCTCAGCTCTTTGGGGGTGTGTGCATGTGTGTGCATGCATGCACCTCAGGACCTTTGAGAAGAGGCCAGAGGGTGGATATTGGAGATAAGTCATTGCTTTCCCTAATACTGAAGGTTTACCTGCAAGACTTTGTTGCAGTCTCTTCATTGTGACCTCAACTAGTTGGGCCAACATCTTTAATAAATGTCTGGAGCCCAAGGCAGTCTGAGGGGAAAGGGGCTTTGGTCTTGCTGCTGTCAAGGGTATTGAAGGGATTACATTTACCTGGCTATTGCCTCTCTCTCTCTCTCTCTCTCTCTCTCTCTCTCTCTCTCTCTCTCTCTCTCT